TGCGCGTCCACCGTCTATACCTGCAAAACCACGAAAACTCCGGTTGGGTGGAGTTCTGCCTCCGAAGATCAAGTTAGAACGTTTCCGAATGTATAAAAGTGCGGAATGTAAAGGTTTTTCTCTCGGATTCCTAGAGAATTCTGCAATTAATATTGCTCGGGTTTGGTTTGTATATTTATGAATATGTAATAAATGAGGATTTTCCTCTATTTATAGTGGAAGGGGATCAGTTCCCCTTTTAGGGTTAAAGTGCCACGTGTCAGTAGAGGATTGGATCCCCTAGGACCTCTCTGAGGTTGACACGTGTCAGCATGCTATAGGGCCACTGGATAAAAGATTGATGGTTTTCTTGATGAAGTTGACTACCAACTATACTAATGTGAGATCTAATATACTCATGATGCCCAGTCTGCCAACTTTAGCCCAGGCTTATAGAATGGTGTTACAAGAAGAAAAGCACAGGTCATTAAGTAATGTGAATCAGAGGTCATTGGATTCAGTTGCTTTTACTGCAGACAGAAGGAGATATGATGACAGAAACCAGTTTGGAAATAGGAATTTTGGTGGATCATATTGAAGAGGCTATCAACAGAACAACTTTAACAAGAATTCTGGTTTTAAGAGAACTATCAACTACTTTTGTGACCACTGTAAGATGACAAGGCACAACATGGAAAGGTGTTTCAAACTGAAAGGTTATCCACCAGGTTATAAGGGTCCTCAACAGCAGGCTCAAGGAGGCAAAAAGTTTGCTAATCTTGCTGAATCATATACAGAAGACAACAATGAGAATTATGATCAGTTTTCTGAGCAACCAAATATGACTAATTCAACTGGAGTACCAAATCTGACACTTGAAGAGTATAACCAGTTCAAAGCCTTCTTAACCAAACAAAATGCAGATAATGCAAGTGGAAGTGCTATGTTTGCAGGTAACTACTATCTCTTAGCTTCATCTTACAGTAGTGGGTGGATTGTTGATAGTGGTGCTAGTGATCATATGTGTCATAAACTTGAACTATGTGATGATTATAAGATGATCCATGGCTTGGATAATCATATTACTATACTTGATGGAACTAGGGTAAAAGTGACACATATTGGGACTGTTAAGTTGTTTAATGGATTAGTACTGAAGAATGTGCTATATGTTCCATGTTTTGAGTTCAATCTAATATCAGTTCATAAGCAATGTCAAGATGGTCAGTGTTCTGTTCAATTCACTACTGACAAATGTGTTGTTTAGGATCAACAGAACTTGACTCCTCCTCTTGTTCTTGGTAAAGTTGGGAATGGCTTATATTTTGTTGAAAGATAGGGTGAGACACTCTGACACAAGGACTACTGCTTCTTTAATTGTTAATACTGTTAGTCTAAGTTCTATAGAACAGGCCAAGTTGTTACACTTAAGGTTGGGTCATATACCTTTTAGCAAGTTAAATCTAGTACAGAATAAAGTTGATTGTTCTAGATTGGAAGATGATGTAATATGTAACATTTGTCCTGCAGCTAGACAACATAGGAAATCTTTTCCTCATAGTAGTATTAAGTTTGCTAAACCTTTTGAGTTGATTCATATAGATGTTTAGGGACCATATAAGTTATTTACACATGACAAGTGTAATATGTTTATGACAATTGTAGATGACTACACTAGATCTGTTTGGGTTCATTTAATGAAATCAAAACTTGAATCAGTTGACATTTTGTTCAATTTTGTTGCTTTTGTTGAGAATTAGTTTGGTGCTTGTGTGAAGATTCTTAGATATGATAATGCAAAAGAGTTATGTGAAGGGAGAATTCTGAATTTGTACACAACTAAAGGTATTTTGCATCAGACCAGTTGTAGTGATACCCCTCAACAAAATGGAATTGTTGAGAGGAAGCACAAGCATTTTCTTGAGGTAGGGAGAGCTCTATATTTTCAGTCTAAGGTGCCAGTCCAATATTGGGGAGAGTGTGTCCTATGTGCTGCTTACCTAATTAATAGAATGCCTTCTGTCTCACTGAATAATATCACACCTAATGAATCTTTATATGGGAACAGACAAGACAATGAGCATTTAAGGGCATTTGGGTGCTTATGTTATGTTTTAACTTCCAAGCAGAACAGGGCAAAGTTGGATGTAAAGGCAAACATGTGTGTCTTTGTGGGATATTCACCAACCCAAAAAGGCTACAAAGTATTGAATCTCAGCACTAAAAGGATTAGTGTTTCTAGAGAAACATTTCCCATTTCACTTTAACCAGTCCTCTACACCACCTTTTCCTTTCTTTCTTCTTACTCATACACCTTTTCCTTATGTTATTGACTTTGAATATCCTGACATTTTTTAACCTCCTAAAATCCCTCATCAAACACATACTCTTCAACTAGTCAACACTGATGTTGTTGACATGTCCAACCATTTTCGGATTCCACCTTTTCCCACTAATCATGATACACATTCTTCTGCTCCTACCAGTGTACCTATCAGGCAGTCTGATAGATCAGACCTAGGAAACCTCCTAGTTGGATGAGTAAATATGTTTGTGGTGTTGCAATTTAGCTTCCTACTAATCACTGGTGTAATCTGGTTTCATACTCAGATTTCTCTTATGCTCATAAATCTTTAATTGTAGAAACCACTTCTCTGAAAGAACTAGGGACTTATAAAGAAGTTGTCACCAATTCTAATTGGGTGGTTGCCATGGAAAAAGAATTAAAATCACTTGAAGACAACAAAACTTGGGAGTTGGTTGATTTGCCTAAAGGGAAAAAGGCAATAGGTTGCAAATGGGTTTTTAAGATAAAACTCAAGAAGGATGGTACCAGAGAAAGAATAAAGGCAAGATTAGTGGCAAAGGGATTCAACTAGAAGTATGGAGTTGACTTTGAGGAATTGTTAAAATGGCAACAGTTAGAAGCATCATAGCTCTTGCAACACATCATGGTTGGACCATTTTCCAACTTGATGTGAACAATGTTTTTCTTCATGGAGATTTGCATGAAGAAGTGTATATGAAACTGCCTGAAGGTGTCTCTAACCCTGTTAATAAAGTGTGTAGGATGAGAAAATCATTGTATGGCTTAAAATAAGCTAGCAGACAATGGTTTGAGAAATTAGTTGCTGAGTTGAAAGCCTTGGGTTTTGTTCAATCTAAGAATGATTATTCTTTAACCTTGAAGAAATCTGGTTCCCAAGTTACAATCACAGGTGTATATGTTGATTATGTGATCATAAATAGGACTAACTTGGTACAGATTCAAGCCTTGAAGAATCATCTTCACACTACTTTCAGTATTAAGGATTTAGGGCATCTCAGTTATTTTTTGGGGATGAAAATTAGCTATACTTTAGGTGAAACTACTATGTCTCAGGCTAAGTTCACCACGGAGCTTTTGGATGATTGTGGTTTACAGAATTTCAAATCGGTATCCTCTCCATTTCCCTTAAGTACTAAGTTGCAAGCAGATTTGGGGTTATTTTTGGATGATCTTGCTCATTACAGGAAGATGGTTGGGAAATTGAATTTTCTCACCAATACAAGAGTTGACTTAGCTTTCTAAGTTCATAACCTAAGTCAGTTTATGCAGACTCCCAGGAATTCACATTTACAGGCCTTGAATCACACTATCAATTATGTTGCTGCAACAATTGGTCAAGGTATTATTTTCAAGGGTGGTCTTGATTTGAAGTTGCAGGCATTTTGTGATTCAGATTGAGCAGCATGTGTGGACACTAGAAGGTCAATTACTTGTTATATCATGATGCTGGGATGCTCTCCTATAAGCTGGAAATCTAAGAAGCAGCCTACAGTTTCTAAATCATCATCTGAAGCAGAGTACAGGGCAATGGCTTCTGCTGTCTCTAAGGTCACCTGGTTGGTCAGAATACTTGGAGAACTTGGGATTTCTGATTTGCAGCCGTTAAACTTCATTGTGACAACCAGTCTGCCCTACATATTACTAGGAACCCTGTATTTCATGAACGTACCAAGCACATTGACATTGACTGTCATTTTACAAGGGATAAAGTGCTTAAAGAATTAATCCAACTGACTTACTTGCCTACAGGTTCTCAACTAGCTGATATCATGACTAAGGTGCTTCCTTTTCCTCAGTTCAACCAGCTAAAGTCCAAGCTTGGCATGTTTACTTCACCCCAAGCTTGAGGGGGGATGTGAAATATAGAGGTGCACTGATATTTTGGTGAATGTGCACACACAAGATTATAGCTTCCTCAACCAACGATGCCACGTTAGCTATTAGTAGTTAGAGTAATAAGTCATGCTTTGTAGCTTGGTATATAAGGTTTCTTCCTTTACTTTTCTTATTCATTCAATAATTGTAATAAACAATTTGTAATTCTCTCATTCATTTAATGAAGTATTAGTTTTAGTGCTTAAGCTCAGAGACTTCGGATAGAGCTATGATAGCAAGAAAATCTCTGTGTTCTTTTGCTTGTTTTCGTTTTTGATTAGCTTCCATTTAATTTTATGGAAAAAAAACTCAATTTTTTAAGCAAAAAGTTAAAATTATATGATTTTTTTTTAAATGTTCAAGTTGGGTCATGGGATCCATTATACTTGCATCCGCCTCTGCTTACATGATAATGTAGAAGACTAGAATGATAAAATATGGTATTTGAGTCAAGTCAAGTCGAGTTTGAGTCATTTCTAGATGATTATAATCATATATCGTTAAAACATATGAAGTACAATATATTTGTGTCAATTTGTTAATTATAATAAGGTATTTATAAAAGAATTCAACCTTACATTTTTTGTCATACTCATAATCGACAACACCATCTCAAACCCAACAATAAGATATACAGAGTAAATATATTTTGTCTAAAAAATGTTCTATCAGATACAAGAAAAAAGTTATAGGTTAACCCTAATAGAGATGGTCCGAATTAAAGCAAATTAAAGCAGTACAAGGATTTTCCCTACCTTTAAAAAATTAGGAGAATACTCTTATAAATAGTGTCATAACATATATAACCCTTAAAATGTTTATTTACCATTATACCTCCATTGTTGATTGTTTGTCTCTCTATGCGTTATCCTTGATGTGATTGACTAATGCTTTTCCTCTTTCTTCCTCATAAGCTTCCCTTTTTCTCCTTCCTCCTCTACCTCTCTACTCTCTCTCCTCGATTGAAGCAACTCCATCGAAGTAGTTTCTGCGGTGAAGTAAACTATTAGTTCTCCATTGAAGCGCCTACCGTGCTTTATCTCCTCCATCGAAGTAGTTTCTGACTTGCTGCGGTGAGGTAATTTTTTTTATATTTTTTATTATTGAATATCAAATTCACAATCTGGGTTAATCGTCAATTTAATTGTCACTGGTTCTCTCTACTTTCACTCTTGTTCGCCCCCAAATTTTGGCATTTCTAATTACACGACTTCGCTAATCTCGTTTTTCTGATACATTTTTCTGCAGCTGTTGAATTTGTAAGCTCAATTTAGCGCAATCGAAGGTAAATTCATACTTACTCAAGCAATTTGAAATCTCGAATTTATGAATTTTAGGCTATTTTCTCAAATCATCTCTTTAATCATGTTAGTGGAAAACCTAATTTGATCGAGTTTTTGATTTTTTTTTTTTTTTTGCTCTATTAGTGGAATTGCTGAACTGTGCATTTAGATATTCTTCAAATTGACGCTCAGTTGATGTAAGTTTATGATTTCTTTTTTTGCTCTATTTGTTTTATTTTTAATTTTTTATTATTGAATATCAAATCAATTGGATTGCTTTGCTTTTGCCTTTCAACCATCCTAATGGTGCTAGCATCTGATAGAAATTCATTCCACCCTGACTGAAAGTTTTTCTTCTCACCTATTATAATAATTTCGGTTGAAATTTATGTTCATTTCTAATCTATCTTGTTCTGCTTCGCTAAATTCTTTGGTCATTTATTTCTAGGTTTATTCTCATACTTTCTTATTGGTTTTTTTTTTTTTTTTTTTTTTTTTTTTTTTTTTTTGTTAATATGACTTTTTGCTTGAATTTTTTTTTTATTTCTTTGTAACCTAAAAAATTGGCCTAATTTAGTGTCTAAATTGAGCTCTAAAATTGTAGCCGATTTCGTAAATTTAAGATTATGTTTCCCGATTTCATATTTTTGCTAACTTTTCTCTATATCCTGTCAATCACTGAAGTGTTGGAGTTGGCTGTAAACACAGCACAAAACAAGATTGCAATGATGGATGTGCAAATAAGGCTATTATGGTGGCGTTCCCGGCAAGGATAACAAATTCGAGTGCTTAGAAGTGTCAGAATAATTAATGGTTGCTTTGAGAGTTTGAGTCCACTAAAGGGAATGAGCATTAAAGGAAAAAGTAGTCTCGCTCAAGGCCAAGTTAGCAACCTCTTGGCTTTCTAAGTGATACTTTGTATATACAGTTTTTATTAATTGCAACAACTACTACGTATAACAAAAAATTATGAACAAAAAAAAAATTACATTTGTTTCTGCTGTTTAATACATCTTTCATGTTGAGATTTGAGCTGAGGAGTATCATGCATGTGTGTATTAAGTAGGATTAGAGCAAAACATCAATTGGCTTACTTTTAATCACAAGTCGATAATACATGGTTGCTTGGTATGAATGTCTGTCCATATGTAAAAGAATTTAGATATTGTTTGCTTAGTTGTATCCATTATTACATGATAAGCTAGATATTACAAGTAGTAAATTTATCACCTTGTGTTCTTCTGTAGAGTAGAGAAGATCAAACTTTAGAAGTCGGAAAATGCTTTGTGCCTGTTGGAATTCACTAGCACTAGTTAGCTTCTATTACAGTAGTGGTGGGTAATTTACTCGCCGATAAAAAAAAAGAAGTTATTTCATGAAATTCAAACCCAATAGTTACGACTTATGAGGTTTTAAAAAAAAAAAATACAAGTTATTCATGAAATTCAAACCTAATGGTTATGACTTATGAGGTTTAACAAGTGCAAATTATAATTATTAAATGGATTTTAAGATCGGGAGAAAACAATCTTGTATATTAAGATTAAAATTAAGTTGTTAGGTACCCAATACCTATGTGTATGTGTATGTTTTTGTTTGCAGATGTGATTGAGAGGCTTAACACATGATGCTTATATATACGTATGTGTATCTTTTTATTTGCAGATGTGATTGAGAGGCTTGAAAATCTGAGAGGGAGAGGCATTGCTTCAATGTATTCGTGGTCTTCTTAAAGGTAGTCATACATTATCTTGTCATCATTATTTTTTAAGGCTCAATACGTAAGTTTTCATATTCTTCTAAGATGTCTAACCCTTGTTGGACATGAATATAGCAAGGTAGTGGTGGAATCATAGTTAGTGTTATAAGTTGCATACTACTAATTTGGATGCATAGTAGTGTAGCTGAAGTAGATGTAGCAAAAACTTGAATGTTCTATATGAAGCGCAAGGAACTAAGGAACTCAAGTGTGGGCTGGTGAATCCGTTGGGTTTCGTAGACTGCAATTACAGAAAAGTGATGTCCATGCTCATGATATTAAATTTACAAGGGTATTGGTTCATTTAAAAGTTCGTGAAAGTGAAATCCGAAAGATCATATGAGCAGCTCTAGCAAGGAGGGGGGAAAAAAAAACTAGAAGCTAAGACAAAGGTTGGTCAAATACAGCAACTAGAACCCGTGTCCAAGTGCAAAGCCACATTTCTTGATGTATTGGAGGCGTGCTTGCATCACACAAAAGAAGTCAGTTTCAACCATTCTTTACAATTACTGGTATTGTCTTGTCATGAATGTCTCAAGCATTCTTCGAATTGGCATCTATTAATCTAAAGTTTTTATCGACATGGACCCAGGCCATAATTGAAAGTTAAAATCATTGTAATTATAACACCATATATCTGTACAAGTAATTAAACAGGTTCCTATCTTTCATACTTGTTCGTTATAATGCAAGCTTATTTTGGTCGATAATTCTATTTTTTTTTTTTTTTTTTTTTTTTTTTTTTTTTTTGGGGTGGGGGAGGGATAACTCTAAATTACAAATAAACTCAGCAAAATTTGACTTGAATATGAATACGATTACTACTTGAAAATGTAAGTTATTTAAGAGATTTTGTGTTTTGGTTAATGGTTGTTGAGATAGTTTAGCTAGCTTGGTGACTCTTAGGTCTAAGCAAAAATTGCCCAAGTTTTTACTAATTGGAGCTGAAGACAAGCTTGGTTGGAATTTGGGAATGAGCTTGTTTGACACATGCAATCATTCAACATCTATTGTTTTTTATCCTTGAACTTTATTTCTCCACTTAACTCAGTTTTTGAGGTTAATTGGTCATTTTTGCCCATTTATTACATTTTTTATCAATTTAAGAAAATAACTTCAATAGTTTTGTAACTTTAACAAAATAAATTAATAACTTATAATTTCAATTTACATCTTAAAAAATTTGTTTTACAGAGAAGAAGAATAAACAATAGTTATATGACATTTACAATAATTATTATGATCATAACTGTAACCGATTAAAATTTAAAGCGAGGTGTATTTGGTATCTTATGTTGTTCAAAGAAACTCAATGGACAAAACACTAAGAAAATTAAACTAAAAGAAAAAATTATCCTTAAAAATTAAAGGTAAGAAATATAGAAAATAGACTATTTCATCCTAAACAATTGAGACAAATGGGATCCCAAAATAGTGGTTGCTAGGTTTTAGATTTAATTGTCACTTTATAATTAAATAATACTTCTATTCAAGAAAAAAATATGAATAATAGATAATTTTTTTTTCTTTGTTCACATCCCTTCTTCTTCTTAAGGCTAAATGATTGATAATTTGTAAATAAAAAGTTGTATTTTTTCACATTATAACTCTTTCCAAATTATTATTTTTCATTTTTCTATTTGGAATTTGATCATTGTTTAGTATTCTTTTTTCAAAGGATATCACCACTAAAGTATTATAGAGACTTCAAATTAATTGTATTATTATGGAATACAAGAAAATGTGATGTTTTATTAATTGAATCATCTCAATGTGTACTTTAAATACGGCAAACATTTGCATTTCTAGAAATCGATACTTTTTACAACTCCTTCACTAAATCTAAAGTAGCTTGCTAAATTTTTGATACACAATATTTAACACATTAATCGCGTATGCACAAATAACTTAAATATAAAAGGTCATGCAACAAGGCATAAGGTATTAAGACTAACTGTAATAACTCTTCTCGAAACACTACCTATATCACGGGCATCGCGCGCGTAGGTACCCTAGTAATTCTAAAGTAATATATGTTCATATATGACTGGTGCAGTTAGCTTAGTTGCTCCAAGGTATAGTTAAGAACTTGTGATTCTTAAGTCGGGTCAATTTTTGACAAATCAGATCGCACTTAAACAAAAGAAGACCAAAGACAAAAAGCCCAAGAGGGAAAAACAATAGAGGCCAAATCCAACCATTAAAGGACAGACTTAGTAGGGCCCTCCCACCATTCTTCTGCACAGTGAATATAACTAACACCAATTCCTCATTTTTCAGTTTTCCTTACATCTCTTGCCATTTGCTCTGCCACTCTCTCCCCATTCAAATTCAATCAATTTATCAACCAATCAGGTAATTACCATTGACCCTTTTCTTTAAATTCAATTTTCTGTTTATTTCATACTTTTAATTATTTCACCCCCTCAAATTTCTTTATTTTTTGGGTAATTTTCTCTTGAGTTGCGTAGTTCCTAAGCTGAGTTTTATACTGTTTCATTCAACAAATCGCATTTGGGGTATCTATATTTTTCATTTTCTACTTTTTGTTTGATTAATATTTTGGTTGATTTTTGCATGATTTGATTACTGATATTGGGTGATTGATTAATTCATTAAGCATGGTTTGTCGATAATTTTTTTTGTGATTGGAATTTTTTTTTAAAGATTCCTTTATACTTTAATTGATTCCCAGAAAAATATAGGAAATCTAAACAATCTTTACTTGTGGAGTTATGATTAAATGGGAACCTGATAAATTTGCATAATAATAAAAAACATCTAGTACTGTAGTATTCTTTATGGGCAGTAAAATGTCGGGGTCAAATTACTATTTGAGGTCAAATCATGTCCTTGATTATGTGAAAATCATCCTAGGTAAGATGCAAGAAGTTGTTCATGTATAGGAAATTGTGAATCTAGGATGTATTTTTTAGCACAACTTGGGTCAACTCTATTCTCGGATTCTTTATTTCACTTCAAGTACTTATGCCGGATCATCAACACGCTTGAAACATGTATAGGAACTTCAATACTACTCCGTTGTATCTATGTCCAACAAGAGTACTAGAGCCTGAGTACATTAACTTCGGGATGTGTTTATATTTCATCATGCCCAATAATACTTGTCAAAGCTTTAAGGTATATTAAACTAGGTGCAACTAATAAGCTATAACTTTTGGTTATTGGTAGAAATTTACAAGAAATAGTAGTTGGAGACAAGTATTGTGGTTAGTTGATGGAGGGAGGAGTTTCAATGTGCTTGTAGTAAATTTACATATTGCTCGTAAGTTTTTGGTAATCCTTTCTTTATAAGATGGTCATTATCTTCATTGAAGCAAGAAATGGAGATCTATGTAGGATGAATATAAACTAGAAATATACGATTAATTAGAACATAAAAGCATTAGGTGGTACTTGGTGGTGAATCTTTCCTCCTTAGCACTGATTCTAGATAGGTGTTAGTTTCCGAAAGATTAAGATGTAAGGCCTGTCCTCTGGATTCAAAGACTGAATGAGTCCTTTCTGAATCTGATAATCTGCCATATTAGTGATCTTTGTTATTGATGTTCTGAATGATCCAATTTATAGTCTTTGGTCAGGCCAAATATAATGTCAGGAACTGGTGAAGAAGTTGTCCAAGATAAAGGTGTTGTTGATGCTGAGCTACAAGAGAATGTTCATCAAGAATCTCCAAAGGAGGACACTGGAGATGTCAAGAAGATTGAGGAACATCAGATGCCATCTCCTGAACAGCAGGTATTAATGCTTGTATATATTCATGAATGCTCCAATGAATTGATATAGATATTGACTAGTTAAATTGTTTGCTTTGTGAATTGTGTGAGGATCGTCTCTCTTTATTTGTCTAATCAATACCTGTACAATCTTTTGTGATTGGGTGCCGTTATTTTATAGGAGGAAACTATCAAGAAAAAGTATGGAGGGATTTTGCCAAAGAAGAAGCCACTGATTTCAAAGGCAAGAATTTGTTTGTGCAATTCAAGTAGTAAATGTTCTGTTTCGGTTCTGAATGCTGTAGATAATTTCACAACCATTGCTTCCTTTTGCAGGACCATGAACATGCTTTTTTCGATTCTGCTGATTGGGCATTGGGAAAGGTATTTGAATTGAATCCTTTGCAGTCTTGCACACTACCAATAGTTCCCATCATTTAACATTTGTAATTTTCAGAGGGTTGATTGTTTAATCTTAATGATCCATGTCTATGCTATTGTTGTCATGCAAGCAGCAAAAAGGCCAGAAACCCAAAGGACCACTTGAGGCACTCCGACCGAAGTTGCAGGTATTTTTGATGAATGCTTTAACCCTGAAACAAAACCTTCCAGTTTTTTCTATTAAGAAACAATGTTATATGTTTCTCCAAGATTTGGAGATTCTGGCTTTTTGATTAATAAAGAGATGCTTTAATAACCTGAGGCAGTTTTTGCTTAGAAATTTGTTGTGTACACATGAGATAATCAGCACCCAACACCCCTTAGCATATGAGGTTCTCCAGAAATAGTGCAGGAGGATTCTTTTGTTCTTTTTGGTCTATTTTTCTGGAGATTAAGACATAGCTTATGCTTTCTGGAGCATTGGCTATATTGTCTCTTATTTTGTCTCTTGAATGGTATGGGATGATGAGAGTCAAGGCAGCTGAACTAACTTGTCTGTCAAATGGTTGTAGTGCTTAAAATAATTTCGTTTAGAAGACTAATTGCTTTTCATCTATCTTACATAAATTGAAAGGGCTAAATACTAATGTTTTTGATTTCTTAGCCAACATATCAGCAAACTCGTTCTAGGCGCTCAGCTTATGCTCCTGCTGACAGTGAAGGTATATGTCTCATTATCTACCTGCCTCAGGTTTGGAGATACTAGAGACATCAATTTATGTCATATTTTATGCTCTTTTAACAGATAATCCCTAATTGTCAGCTGCAGATCATGATGGCACTGGAGATGATGACAACATTGAAAAGGTCGCTCCTGAGGTTCAGAGCCACAAATAAGCTTCGTCTACAGTTAATCATGTACAAAATGATAAAAACACCTCCATTGCTGGAAAAATGAGAGAAAGGAAACTGTTTTCTTACAAGTGCAGATCATTCTACTATAATAGATACACAGCTTTAGCTGAAACACCTACTACAGTGATATTGTGTGATATGTACTCTTACTTGATCAACTGTTACTGTAATTGCAAGATATGCTGAAGCTTGAATCTTAAGAAGGTTTTCTAGCTGATGTACCTCTCTTATCTGCGAGAATTAATCAGTTAGTTTTGCTGAAACTAGTATTAGCATTCTCTTTCTGTTAAGATGTACATTAGTCCCGTCATTTGGCTTCTCTCTATCACTTACAAGAGTTACATCCTCATTGTTTCACTCCCTTTTGGGCCCTATTTTGGGTGCACAGGACATGAACTAGGTATTGTGCTGTGCGAGTGCGTATGTATATCTGGACACATGCACACGTGACTGTGTATAGGCATAAGCCACTAATGCCAGAAATAGCTCCATTGAGTTGGTGCTAGGCATGAGAAAGATAACAAGGACATTGGGGATACACAAAATTGCATGTTTATTTTGTAAGATTCTTGTGAGTATCAACTCATACCTATTAAATGTAGATGTAGCCTCATGTGGGCTATGTCGGGCAGTGCCTTGAGAGTCTAGTTAAGCCTGACCCAAGTCACAATTGAGCC